CCGCCCCTCGACGCAAGGAATGCAGGGCGGCGCAGGCGAGGGAGGGAGGGCAGGCAGAGACCTGGGGAGACCAGAGACCAGGGAGCGAGAGTGCATGCTACGCAGGCGAGGCAAGGAGGGGTGACCAAGGCGGTGGTGCCACAGGAGAGTGTCGTGCGACAAAGCGCGACACTCGCAGGGGGCCGCCTGCTGACCAGACGTAGACGCAGACGCAGCTACCTGAGGGGACGCAGTGGTCAGTGTGTACAGACTCGAGCCAGGTGCACGGGTGAACGTGGCCAAGTGCCGGCCCGTCCTAGCACACGTACAGTGAGTCACTCGCTGACTCGCAGGAGTGAACTGGTGAACCCCCCCATCCTGGAGGTCAGCTCCACTCACCAAGTTCGTAGAGAACGAGGGGAGGTAAAGACCTGACAGGAAGCCAGACGGGACGGCCGGACACGGCAGAACCGTGGAGTGGTGGGCAATGACTGGACCCCCAGAGGGGTCCGCCAGGGAGACCGGGACTGGCCGACTGAGCGGCGTGAGTGCGGTGCAGTCGCGAAAGAAGGAGCGGGAAGCTCCTGAGTCAAGGGTGAAGGTGTGCGAGACCGCAGTGGGCGCAGTACCAGAGAGAGCAGACTCACCAGCACCTGAAGCCACGGCCTCACCAGTACCTAGAGCAGTAGACGTACTAGCACCGAGAGCAGCAGCCTCACCAGCACCTAGAGCAGGAGACGCACTAGCACCTAGGGCAGCAGCCTCACCAGGGTCAGGCGGTACGCACAGGTAACAGGCACGGTCAGCACTAGTAGACAAGGCATACATGGCAGTGAGAATAGCATCATAGTCAAGCGCAAAGATATCTACCCTCTGTCCATGCAGCTCCAGCCAGGTGGGGAGCTCAGCCTCGTCGCCAAACACTGTGCGCCAGGCGTCGCTCAGACGGGCGAAGCAGCGGGACTGTGTGTGACCAAGCGTCCCACAAGGCTGACCAGTCCTAGCACCTGTGCGAATGACGTACGGGCAGCGAACTGTACGGGTAGACCTGCTACACTGAGCGTACCACTCCTGGAGCTGCCGAGGCGTAAGTGGCTCGCGTGGACGCCCCTGCAGCTGCAGCTGGCCACTGCTAGACGCTCCCAACTGACCAGCCCCAGGGCGACAGCTACGACGGCTACCGCGACAACCCCAGCTAGTATACCACTCACTAAGCTGCTGGGGCGTGAGAGGCTCGCGTGAACGTCGCTGGAGCTGCATCTGGCCACCTGCCAGTAGCAGTAGCAGCAGCAGCAGCGCGGGCAGGGCAGGCGTGGCAGGCAGGTAGGCAAGCAGGCAGGCAGGCAGGCAGGCAGGCAGGAAGGCAGGCAGGCAGACAGGCAGGCAGGCAGGCAGGCAGGCAGACAGACAGGCAGGCCGGCAGGCAGGCAGTCAGGCCGGTAGGCAGGCAGGCAGGCGCGCAGGCAGGCAGGCAGGCAGGCAGGCAGGCCGGCAGGCAGGCAGGCAGGCAGGCAGACAGGCAGGCCGTCAGGCAGGCAGGCAGTCGCTCACCAAAGGCTGGGAGAGCAGGCGCTCACCGGGCGAGCAGGGCCGGCGCTCGACAGCGGCGACGTCGGGGCCGCAACACCGGCTGCAGAGCAGGGCCGAAGCAGCTGCAGGGCGGGGCCGCTTCAGCGGCAGGTCGGGGCCGTGGCAGCTGCAGGGCGGGGCCGCATCAGCGGCAGGTCGGGGCCGTGGCAGCTGCAGGGCGGGGCCGCATCAGCGGCAGGGAGGGGCCGTGGCAGCTGCAGGGCGGGGCCGCATCAGCGGCAGGTCGGGGCCGAGGCAGAGGGCCGCGCGCGGCTCGGCGCGGGCTGCGCTGACAGCGCGCTAAGCTGATGCAGGCCGCGCGCGGCCGCGCTAGGCAGTAGCGGGCCGCGCGCGGCTCGGCGCGGGCTGTTGCGGGCCAGTAGCAGGCCGCGCGCGGCTCGGCGCGGGCTGCTGCGGGCCGCGCGCGGGCCTCGCGAGGCCGTAGCAGGCCGCGCGCGGCTCGACGCGGGCTGCGCGGGCTCGGCGCGGGCTGCGCGCGGCAGCTGCGAGCTGCGCGCGGCTCGGTGCGGGCTGCGCGCGGCTGCAGCGGGCTGCGCGCGGGTCGGTGCGGGCTGCGCGCGGCTGCAGCGGGCTGCGCGCGACTCGGTGCGGGCAGCGCGCGGCAGCAGTGTGCTTAACGGTCTGCAGGGGCTGTGTGCGGGCCTGACGGGCGTGTAGAGGCGGCGCGCGGGCCTTACGGGCCTCTAGGGGCAGCGCGCTGGCCTAGGGCAGCAGGAGGCAGCGCATGGGCAGCACGTCACAAGGCAAGGCAAGGCAGGCAGGTACGTGGGGTAGCGCGGTAACCGCAGCGGTAGGTGGGCCCGAAAAAAACGGTCCTACGGACCTTAGTGCTCTGATACCATGTTAGAATCTAGCAGCAGGAAAAATGAGTGAACTAGCAGCATGCAGGAGTACAAGTAGTAAACCCTAATTGGGCTGTACCCCATATGGGCTACCCCACTACAGCCTAGACAATATGCAGCATATATGTTTGACAATAGGGCCGTTCCCCACGGGGAGAAGGGGACCGAGGGTCCCGTGCTGGCCATAGGGCCGTTCCCCATGGGGGGAAGGGGACCGAGGGTCCCGTGCTGGCCATAGGGCCGTTCCCCATGGGGGGAAGGGGACCGAGGGTCCCGTGCTGGCCATAGGGCCGTTCCCCATGGGGGGAAGGGGACCGAGGGTCCCGTGCTGGCCATAGGGCCGTTCCCCACGTGGGGAAGGGGACCGCGGGTCCCGTGCTGGCCATAGGGCCGTTCCCCATGGGGGGAAGGGGACCGAGGGTCCCTTGCTGACCATAGGGCCGTTCCCCATGGGGGGCAGGGGACCGAGGGTCCCGTGCTGGCCATAGGGCCGTTCCCTATGGGGGGAAGGGGACCAGGGGTCCCGTGCTGACCATAGGGTGTTCCCTTAGGTGGGAAAGAGGATTGCAGTTGGCAAAGGGCCATTACACAGAGCATGGATGATGCTCATTGCAGACATTTACTCTATGTGGTTTCATGTCGCCCTTGGTTGTTACGACAATATCTTTAAAAAAAAAATGTTGTGTCCCAAACAAATTCCGGATGGTCACAAATAGTGTAGGCACCTTTCTTGGGGGACTTGTTACCGTAAGACACCTACGGTATAAAGTATGACATGCAACTACCGTATATGTACCGTATCTGCTTTTGGCAACCCAACATCCTAAGACACTAGTGCAACAAGTACATGTCAGAATCCCAGTCACTAACCACTGGGATAAAAGGGCTTGTTTATATAGCGGGTGAGTGCGCCCATAACCCCCCAGGCCGACGTGCCTGTAACCCTTCCCTAGGATCATCGGGGATCTCCAGTGGACCTCTGACACCCCCCCGCACTGGGATGCCCGAAGTGCACACACCGGGAATCGAACCCGAGACCTTCGCTCTGATACCATGTCAGAATCCCAGTCACTAACCACTGGGATAAAAGGGCTTGTTTATATAGCGGGTGAGTGCGCCCATAACCCCCCAGGCCGACGTGCCTGTAACCCTTCCCTAGGATCATCGGGGATCTCCAGTGGACCTCTGACAGTACAAACTCCTCTGGATCTATGCCACATTGGAAAAATATGATTCTCGCTAAAAATACATGTCGTAGGAGCCACATTGGAAAATATGGTCTCACTAAAATGCATGGTTCTACTATGAAGAGGTGTAAGGAAGATAATGGGTGAGGACAAACCTACAATTTGAGCACCAATGACATTTGTGGAGATTGCAGCTTGGCCGTGGTGCCTGATACGCGAGAAAATTTGCCGCCATTTGAGAACACTGCAAACTTAAGGTAGCCAGAGCTTTAGTATCCGTAGCGGGGAACGCCCTTTCAGAAACTAACGAGCAAAAATTATTGCATTGAGCAGAAACGTGGGTACAAGTGCTAACCCTAAACTGGGTTGTACCCTATATGGGCTACTCCACTACAGCCTACACCGCACAAGCACCATTACAGTTTGACACGCACAGCACCCACCTGCTGCACCACCTATTATTGGATCACACCGATAGTGTATCACTGCACTCGACACGTGGACAATCCTATACGACGAGCTACTCTGCTTCAACTGCCAACACAAGCAACTAACTTCAACCACATGCATCCACCACACCGACGTCCAAGAAAAAGCAGCTTTCACTTCAGCGACACGGCGCTACAACCAACAACTTTCATTCTTCGACGTCAACATCGACGCGACCAACACAACCCACGTTCGCCTCTCCACTCGCACATGTCTCAGAAGACCCATTGAAATGAAGCACGTTGCCTTGCAAGGAACAGAAAGCAAGCTTTCTCAATATGAATTTTTTTGAAAGTGTATACACTTTCCAAAAATATATATTGTGAACGCGCAGCTGCCTATAACGCAGCAAGGCAACTGCTGAACTTCATTCAGAGTACATAACGAGGGTTGGAGGCCATTAGGCCTCCACCCACGTCTTCGTTTCGGAACTTCCGTTCCACTTCCCACCCGCCCCCCCATCGGTACTATCATGTGTCATTGATCGTGGGACGAGAATGTTGTAATAACCCATTGAAATGAAGCACGTTGCCTTGCCTCATTGAAATGAAGCACGTTGCCTTGCAAGGAACAGAAAGCAAGCTTTCTCAATGTGGTCAGATATGAAAGTAGGAACCGGAACGTTATAAGTTCCCTAACAATTGTCACCGCCGATTAAATAACACAACCTCAGCTTCTATTGGGTGCATTCTGCTGGACAAATGGGTATGAGCCAACCAAACAGACACCTTCAAATTGATCAGTAATCTATACATACAACAACGTGGGAGGACATCAGCCAGCCCCCTTCGAGCACTTGCATGTGCTTAGACTACAATACAAGTGGTGGATATGCAACACAAGCCAATGGGACCTAAGCAACTAGTGTCACTTTGTACCTAGGTTCATAATCTAGCGGTAAAATATAAGCTACCTACTCCCTACGGAAAACTTGGGCCAACAGCATCTTCTGCTCTGCAGAGAGCTTGGTAGGGAATCTAACATCAAACCTTATTCTAAGGTTGCCACGCTTGCCCAACTCCTTGCCTGGCATCCCCTCCCTAGGAATCACCTTTTCATAGCCGGGATATATAACCTCATTGAGGGGAATTGAAAGCTGTCTTCCATCAAGAGTTGTCAAGTTCAACGTGTAATCAAGCAATGCGTCCGCGATGCTGATTTTCTGAGTGCACAGAAGATCAATGCCTTCCCGCTTGTAGAACTCATGCTGCTTCTCCTCAATGACAAAAACAAGGTCTGCAGGAACGAGACCAGGCTGCTCGTTCCCTTTCTCAGGGAACGTAATCCTGGTCCCTTTTTTCCATCCTGGTTTCACGTTGATCGTCAGTATTTCCTCCACTGGGGTGATTTTCCTGAAAAAGCACGGGGATAAGTGGAAGACAAATTAGTGACTGGCCTACTGATTGCCCTTGTAAGGGACAAGTTGAGAAAGAGCGGCGCAACGTACCCAGCAGTGTCAACAATATTCCGTGAGATCTTCATTTTCCGCGTCGACCCCGAATAAAGTTCTTCCAAGGAGCAAACTAGACGATTCTCTACAGGTGCACCTTTCTTAGGTGCGGGGGAGTTTGGATCCACATAATGGCCATGCACCACGGGCTCTTGCCCTGGAGAGCCATAATGGTCGCCAGGATACGAGGAACCAGACTTCGAACCTCTGAAGCTACTGCTTTCTGACATGAATGGGTTCTTGCCAAAGAACTCTGCAAAAATGTCTTCCGCACTCCGCGGATTAAACTTATTAACATGAGGAGGATTTGGGGTGCTAGAAGACGGGGCGTGTGAACTTCCTGGCTGACTTGGAGTTCCTTGACGTGGTACTTGTCCTTTGAGTCCTTCCTCCCCATATTGATCGTACACTGCTCTCTTCTGACCATCACTGAGGACCTGAACGAAGAGAAGAAAGGTGAATGAGTCCTGATTTCGGAACAATCTAGGCGGACTGTGGCAACAAGAGCATAAGCTCGTACTACCTCGTACGCTTCAGAGATCTCCTTAAATTTCGCCTCGGCTTCCGTCTTGCATGTGGGATTTTTGTCTGGATGCCATTTCATCGCCAACTTCCTATAAGCCTTCTTTAGGTCATCATCAGACGCGGTGTTCGGTACCTGAAGTACGTCATAGTAGTCTAATCCCATTTCATAGGTAATGGCTGGAAATGGTCAACAAACGCCTGGCAATTCGAGAATCATTGAGGCTATTGCCTGCCCAGACACACCTGGGTGATTGCAACAACAAAACCAAACCCTCAAAGTAACTCCAGCAGATAAATGGGCTGAGCAAGCCCTTGGCGGCTGCAGCTGTATGCACCTTGCCAAGGGTAGTCGCACGGCAGGCAATCCGACGTATACGATCAATTTGCTAGCTGTTGTGGTCTTCGCAGAAGTGTCGCAGGTGCTTCTACGACGCTGTTGCGAAGTCGCAAACCAACCTCCGACACCCGAATCGCACAAATCCAAGGCACAAGTTGCCGCTTCGACAGTTGCATGCCCTTCTCCTGGCTTGGACGAGCCGAATTTCCAAGTCCAACTCAGTCTCGTGCACTCGTTCGTTCCCCTTCAGCCAGATCCAACTGTCCGGTTGGCTTCATCCGGAATCCCAAGCCGCCCGTGATCAAGAGGGCAGTCCACCCCTAAATTGAGGAAATCAATCCCCGGGGCGCCGCGCAACGTGCTTCGCGAAGTGCCACAGGGAACAAGCGTGAACATCGGTCCATGACCTACACCTACGCCAATGGGATAAAAGCTGGTCGACGCCCCCGTGCTCTTTTACACACAATAGTGAAAATACTCCAACACCTCAATACTCAGAATCTATATACATATCCTTAGATATCTCAAATCAGCTATTACGACCAATTTCCCTCATCACCGGCTTCTTTCATGACCAGGAAGCAAGATTACAGCATTCCAAAAGTACCATTTGCTTGCATCATGCATAGACTATCTGTTACAAGTTGTCCTGCAAGGACCCACCCACAAGCCAACGCATACGGAAACTCAAACAATGCGCTCCAGCTCCCTAGCATACCCCAAAGCTTGGCTCACGAGCTGCATGGATGGCATTCTATCACGCGGTTGCTGCTGCTGTGGGCGCTGGAAGTATACAGAACCATCACGCACCTCCCAATTGTGCTGTAGCCAATGCATGGAAAGAAAAAACAGAGGAATGTAACTTCATGATTGAGGTAAAACAAAGGTAAGCAGGAATAGAAGTGTGAAAAGGGGGGACAAAGGAAGGTGGCGGGTACAAGAACAGTAAAACAGGAAAACGATTCAAGGTCATTGTTACCTGCTCAGCATAGGGCTTCAGCTCTGCTTCATTGGTGAACATGAGCAGTTGGCATGCATCTTTAATTTCAAGGGACTCGTATGCCTTCTCACTGCACCCTGCTATCTCATCCCTGCCATGGAAAAACAGTCACATGGATGAATAGGAAGCACACAGATACAGGCTATATTGAAGTGCTGTCCATGTGTCACAACTCTCCCCCCTCCCCATCTCCATGCTAGAGCAAGTACAGCAGATCCAGAATTGACATGTGAAAAGAACGACACTTCTTATTTTTTTATGCATCCCCTTCAAAATCCTCACCTGACAGTCCGCATGAGCAGGTCAAGGAAGTGGGCAAACAGTGGGTGTGGCGCCGCATGACGTGCGGTGAGCACACGTGCATACGCCCCTTCCATGAGCGCCTGCTCTAGCTGCACTGCTGTCTTCACACATGGGTTCTCGTCCAGGCCATCTGGCAGCAGCTCCAGTTCGGTGTGGAACTCTGCAATGCGGTTCGCCACCAACAGGCGCAGCAGGTTCAGGCCCAGAATGACAGGCTCGTTCTCAGAAGGAGGGAGGACGCTCCTGGTGTGGAGAAAAACAGGGCAAGAGGGTAGACATTGTCGCGAAAGCAAGACAGCAACAACTGGGGTTTCGGCAATAATGGGAGAAAGTAGAAAGGGAGAGAGCAGCAAGGCAGCGTGGATAGGGTTCTGAAACAGGGGACTGGGCATGATGGTGTGCGCACCTGGTGTCAGTGTAGTAGGTGCGTAGCTGGAGGTAATTGCGCTCAAAGAGAGCCTCGTCCTTTTGCTTCACGCTCAATAGCACCGCGTGCTCCATCACATCGCCTGTATCCAGTGGGTCACAGCTTTTCAGTACGACGGTGTGAATGCGAAGCACGCGATGGTGCAAAAGCATTTAAAAAATATACGAAACGAGGTTGTATAGGGGGCGTTACAGAAAGGAGGGAGAGTAAACGGAGCTAGAGCACGATTGACGCGCGGGCACAGCAGATGCTACACGAGCAGAAGCGCAGGGAAATGAGACGCACGCGCAAGCAGGAGCTCTTCCTGTGCCGTGGGCGACTGCTGGTACAGCGGGGGTAGCGCTGGCAGCAGTGTTAGCTTCAGCTGCAGGGGACGATGAGGGGAGGGGAATAAGATGTGCGGAGGGAGGAACTTAAAACTGGTTTTGAGGGAAAGTCATGTGGAGTGACAAGGGGTTTACGCGTGGATGGTTGCACAGTTAGGACACTCAGGCAACGACACTCAGGCTCCGAGAAAGAGAATTTGATGAACGTCTCCGACATGGCATGGCAATATTGACAAGAACAGGATAATACGAGCCTTCAACAGCTGAAATCTAGCTTCAGACAATCCGGCCTTGACCTTGACCGTCGGGCATAAGGAAGGCTACGGACCGACCTGATGCATGTCATCCATGCCGATCCCGCCTCCGCCAGTCACAATCATGACGGAAAATTAGTCCATTCACCGCCACGTACGGTCGATCGGGAAACCCAGGCTTACCTTGAGTTGCGACACAAGCGACGCGCACGTCGGGAGGTCATCTCGCTTGTAAGCGCTATCCAATTGCTCCGTCAGAGCCTTGACGTCTTTAAGAGTGTCGCCCATCGCAGTCCCTGCGTCGAGCTCGCTGCTGCGGAGACGAAGATTAGCCGGTAAGGACACAGTTTTCTCTCTCGCACTTATATTCTACCTGCTCGCACTAAGTATCGCGCGTTCGATGCACCCGTGTCGCGACTATCTAATCCTCTAATCCCACCGCTATTTGAACAAAAAATCACGTTCGCGAAACCGACGGATAACGGTAATCTCCTAGCCTCGAGAGACCCGAAAATCCCCTTCCGTCGCCGCTAGGATTCACCCGCGAATGCGAGCGGACAGGATCAGATCTAGGTGGATCCTGAGAGATGAGACCTCGCACACAGCTGAGGCAGACACCAAGCACGCGGCAGCAGGCACAGGAATGACGCGCGTGAGAAACGAGACCTGGCAACTAAGCAGCTATGTTGGGAAGAATCTGGAATCGAGGCCAGATAGGAGCGGCTGTGGGACAAACTCTAGCTGCTCTGCTCACAGATCGAAATTCCATCCGTTATATCCATTCGGAAGGGGTGTGGGTGTGGTGGCTGTTTGAGGGGGACCTCAGTACAGTTTACATGTACGATTAACAAGTTTGCACTGTACACTCCCTGTGTTCCGTTAAATAGTGTGGTATACGCGTTTGTAGTCCTTCGTTCTCCTCCCGCCAGTTTACATGTACGATTCATCCCTGTCAGCTGCTGCTTGTCAGTTGATCGCCGCAGGAGCACAAGCACGCATTCGCCCGCTCTTGTGACTCAACAGAGCGATTTGTCACCAGGCCTACCTTTCACCCAATCTCACCGTAGGAAATTCTTCCAGCTTTCATCAAGTCTTATTCATCCAGCTTTCACGTCCGTAAAATTCAGGCACACATCAACCGCACAACAGCCAGCCTTCCACCCGTTACCATGACACGCTCCTGCCGACCTTTCCTTTCCCCGCTCCACACATTCTCTCCGCTCCGCCACTCCTCACCCCGCCTCACAGCCCTCCTCCTCGTCGTCGTCGTCTCCCTCCACTCCTCTCTCCGCGCGCCGCGCTGCGCGCTCGCGCTGTCGCAAGACGCCATAGGGAGCATCCTCGCGGACGGCATCTCCTTCGACGGGATCGGGCCGGGCGAGGACTTCGGCGACTACGAGGAGCGCTACGGCGTGACCGACGACGAGGACGACTATAACGCGGATGCGAGCGGAGGCGGCGCGGGGATGGGCATGGAGGGGGTGTCGGTAGAGTGGGACGACGAGCAGCCAGAGGCAGCGATTCATGGCGTGCTAGACGTCGATGACGTCACTCTTCCCAAGCTCGCAGACGGCCGCCAGAAGCTGCTGCTGCTCTTCTACGCGGCATGGGACAGGTTCAGCAAGGTGCGGTGCTGTGGGAGGGAGAGTTGCGAGGTGCAATGGGGCAGGGGGATCGGGGGTGGGAACCGTTTGAAAACACTATTGCACGCTCCACACTCCTTCCTCTCTTCCGTCTCACCCTTTTCTTTCCTCTAATCATCTCCTGTCTCTCACTCGTACCCGTTTCTCCCCTGCGTTGCCTCTTGCCGTGCCATGTGGTCCGTCCATGTGCGCGCATCAGGAGATGGTGCCCATATACAAGGACGTTGCCGCGTCGCTCGCCACCCACACTGATGTGCTGCTCGCTAAGGTGCTGTTCCTTCCCTCTCCTGCCCCCCCCATCACCACCACTTGTTGTTGTTGTTGCTGCTGCTGCTGCTGCTGCCGCTGCTATTAATCTCTCTGTTTATCAACTCGAACACTGATGCATGCTTATGAGCCTGGAAAACTCAATCAGGCTTCACTGTCACTCACCCTGTGTGTGTGCTGCGCGTGTGTCTGCCTCGTGCGGTGGACCCCTCTCATCCTCCCCCCCCCGCCCTGCCACCAGGTGGATGGCGATAGGTACTGGAAGCTCTCATCCCGATACGACGCTGCCTCGTAAGTCACGTGAGGGGGCGGGTGTTGGGACCGTTGGGCAGGAGAGGGAGAAGAGGCAAAGGGGTTGGAGACTGCACTTGCTTCTGCTCCTCCTTATTCTTCCCCCCTCTTCAGCCATGCCTCCTCCTTGCCCTTTCCACAAACTCATTCTTTCCCCACCCCTGCCACACAATGGATAACCAGTTCTTTTTCTACCTGCCCCTGCTTCTTCATCTCAGTCTTCCTTGAACACGCTCTTTTGTCCTCTCCTCTCCCGCTCCTCTCTCTCTGCACCTGTTCTGCAGCTATCCTCATCTGGTCTACTTCGATCAAGAGAACAAGCTTGGAATCAGGTGCACTGCTCAGGTCTCTTCATCTGTACTGCTCGCATATGCCTTGCTCGCAGACATGGCTTTGCTCCCACAAGCTCTCAGCTCCCTTCACCACCACTCCAACTTTGAGTACCCAAAAAGGACCTTCTTTTCTCCCGCTCTTCGTGTGTGTGTCTCTGCGTGTGTGCGTGCGCGCGCGTGTGTGTGCATGTGTGCATGTGCAGCTATGAGGGTGAGAGGACAGCGGAGGCGATAGTGAGCTATGTGCTTCACGGCGAGCGGGTATGTCTTTCCACTCTGAGCCCTGCTGTACCGTGTGTTTCCTGCTCCCACCCTCCATCCCTACCCACCTCCCCACCCCTGCACTCACACGCCACCAACCCTTCCCAGTCATTCCCCTCTACCATCTCTCCTCCACCCTATCCTATCTCCTCGGCTCTTCCCACTTTCCCCTTTTTCCCTCCCCTTTCTCGTCTGATGCCATTGCTGCCTCTCCCTCTCTGTCTCTTCTCTCTCCCCTGCTTCCGTCTCTCTTTCCTTTCCTCCTCCCAGCGTGGGCCTCGGTTGCCCGCCCTGCAAGCAGCAGTGCAGGCGTTTCGAGCGGGCAGCAGTGGGGAGCAGCGCGAGGCAGCCATTGCACAGGCTGAAGCACTCGTGGCTGGGATGAGCGCGGCTGACAAGGAGTGAGAAACGGGGAAGGGGAAGGGAGTGGGGGGAAAGAGGGGGAGGGATAGGAGAGGGGGGGATATGGCTGGGTAGGGGCGGATGGAGGAAGGAGCATGCAGGTCCTTGGAAGGGAGAGTGTGATAGAGGAATGGCTGGGTTGCTGAGTGGGGGATTTGTGTGTGGAAAGTGTTGGTGGCCGTATCTGTTGGACGCTGGGTGCTGCTATGTTGCGTTGCTAAATTGTTGGTTGCTGTCGTGGTTTGTCGTTCTGTTGCACTGGTGGCGATGCTGGTCAGCATGGAATATGGTGGGTGCATGTCATATGTATGTGGTCTTTTCTGTGCCTGTGTCATACATGCATCTAATGTTCATGTACTGCATGTGATTGCTCTACCTGTGATATGCACGTGATGCACAGGGCCTTATATAATTGTACATGTGCATGTGCATGTGCAGTGTGGGTCAGCTGTATATCAAGGCCATGAAGGCTGCAGTGGCATTCGGGGAAGACTTTCTGAGCAAGGTGCCCTTTACACTCCCCTTCAATGCACATTCTCTCCCATCAATGCACACCAGAAGCAGCAGCTGCTCACCCCTCCGTTCCTCACCCCTCCGTTCCTCATATAACTGCGTATCCCGGTGTTCATGGTGTCATGCCTTGCCGCACGTCTTCAGGAGGCGCGTCGGCTGGAGAGCTCTTTGGAAGGAGGTGGTTTGCCGCCGTCCACCTACACCAAGTTCCGCCAGCAGATTGACATTGCCAAGGTGCCATGCCATGCCGTGCCATGCCGTGCCGTGCCATGCCGTGCCGTGCCATGCCGTGCCGTGCCATGCCGTGCCGTGCCATGCCGTGCCGTGCCATGCCGTGCCGTGCCATGCCATGCCATGCCATGCCGTGCCGTGCCGTGCCGTGCTATGCCTCCCTGCTCTGCCACACCTTTCCCATTGCACACACAACCACCAGCTTCTCTGCTTCGTCCTTGCCCTTCTCCCTCTTTCCCTCTTTTTCTTTGTCTCGTGCCAGGCAACACATGCCTGGGCCATGTCAACCTGCATACACCCACCCACCTGCTTGTTCACCTGTGCCTGCTGTACTTATCCACATATTCCCTGTATGCAGGAGTTGGATCCAACAACCGCACATGAGTAGAATGGTATTTCTTGATGAAGCCAGAATAAGCACTGTTTATGAAAAGATGCATGTTTATGCTGGTGATGCCTGGCCTGTCTATGCACCAAAGGATGATAGTCATTTTGTGCAGTGTGCCAGAAATGGCTTGCTTCTGAGATGTTCAGATAACCACGGGCATGGTAGCTTCTTGTTATGGGCATGAAGAACATGGAAGCAAGAACATGGTGAAATGGGAGTTCAGTTTAGACATCTGGATAAACATGTGTGCCTGTTTACATCCTTGTGCCCAGCAGTTCAAGTTAGTTTATATTGATTCACCCAGGTACAGAACACAGTATTCCCACAATATCGGACCGATAATTGCATCAAGCACCAATAATGGTGGCCCCCCGCCTCATTGGGGTTTGCCTTGTCCGCGACGGAAAGTCCACCATTTCTCGTGTTCGCACCGCGTGTGCTCCAGGATCCGACGGCTGCCGTGCCGTGTCCTTGCGACCTCCGTCCTTGTGATGCACGCGCATCGCGCCCGAGGGATGGTTACACTGGTCAGCGCAGCAGGGATCTCTTCCAAACCAGCTCCCCGATGTGAGATCCTTCACAGCCGAACCCAACCCATTCCCAACCAATTCCACCTCTGCACTTTCGTAACCAAACTCAACCAAGCCCTCCCAGCGACCCTAGCATAAATCAGTAAATTTCTCAACACCAACCCAGAGTCCCTTCACTCAACCCACCATTGTTCTCTTTCTTGCAGCGCTGGCGGAACTACCTCGCCACCACTGATCGTAAATCACACATTCGTTCGTAGGCTTCCCTAATCTAGCCTTTCCAGCCCAGTGCTTGTCGCGGGCTCGCCATGGTTAAAGTATCTGACGCCCTACACGCGCGGTTATTTATCGCCATCTGCGTTCTCTGCTCGACAATCGGAGCCAGCAGCGGCCAATGGGTGGGCGTGTCGCTCGGCCTTGACGCGTCGTCGCAGCCCATAGACCCAGCACGCGCCGTGTCTCTCATAAAAGCGCGCGGATTCTCCGCCGTGAAGCTTTTCCGCCCAGACGGGCCCACGTTCACCGCGCTAGCTGGTGAGTTTCCTCGAAAGCCGCCGCCGTTCACGCCAAAAGCTCCAGACACTCCCCTCTTGCCAATCGACGTCAACTCTCGCTTTGTATGTAATCTCTGCGTTCTTTCATTGGTTATCGATTTCATTGCGCCCAAGCTACTCATGCCTCCACCCCCACTCCTCCCCCCCCCCGCCGCGTAGGCTCCGGATTGGAGGTGGTGACGGCGGTGCCCAACGACCGCCTGGCGGAATTCGCGGCGGGAAGCGCGGCGGCCCTGGCGTGGGTGGACGCGAATATCATGCCGTACGCCGACAAGTGCAACATCACCGGTATCTCCGTGAGTAGCCCAAGGTAGTGCTTTCTGAGGCGCGCCTCAGCAATTGTCTCACGTGGCGTGGGTGCGACTTAACGCGAATCGTGCCGTCAGCCGACACTCTGAGGGCAACATCACCGGCATCTCCGTGAATATAGCGATGGAAGTGATTCGATGCTGATACCAGGCACAGCCTGAGGGTGCATGCGTGCCATATGTGATCGTATGACGCTGCCACAGCGTGATTTCGGATTCCATGTTCTGGAGATCGACTCTGAAAGCACGTCTGAGAATCCTCGCGCGTGGCAGGTGGGCAACGAGGTGATGGGGCAGCGCGAGGGCGCGAACGATGCGCTGCCGTCTCTCGTGCCGGCCATGGAGTCGCTGTACTCGGCGCTGCAGGCGCGCAAGCTGCACGGGCGCGTGAAGGTGACGAGCCCGCAGGACATGACGTTCCTCGCCGCGTCCTTCCCGCCCTCCGCGTCCGACGTGCACCCCAGCATCCGCGACGAGATGGCTAAGCTGCTCGCCTTCCTCAACCGCACCGGTGCGCTGGGCACGAGCATCGGGTCATGGGTGGGTGGGTGGGTGCGATGGGGTGGGTTTCATAGTGACATCCCGAGATGCACTGAGCCGCAGTGCTTCTACCCACTCTTTACCCATCTCTCACACCCATCCCCACTCCCTCCCTCCCGGGACGCACGGACTCCCATCATCTCTCCACCCCATCCCCAGGCTCGCACGCGGTGCTCAACTACTACCCGTCCTTCGCGTACCAGTCGGCGCCGCAGCAGATCTACTTTTGAGGCACCTAAAATTAGCCCCCTCCCGTTCCCCCTCCCTCCCTCCTCCCCTCCCTGCACGCACGGACTCCCATCCCCAGGCTCGCACGCGGTGCTCAACTGCTACCCGTTCTTCGCGTACCAGTCGGCGCCGCAGCAGATCTCGCGCGACCTCGTGTTCTTCAAGGGCGCCACCAGCGGCGGGTACAGCGACGGGGCGCTCTTCTACGCCAGCATGCTGGACGCCATGATTGACGCTGCCATCACCGCCTTTGAAAAGCTCGGCTTCCCCAACATCCCCGTTGCTGGTTAGTACATGCTCTCATGCTCACATGTCCACATGCTCACATCTCCCCTCTCAGCTCACCTCCAACTCCGCTCTGACCCACCACTCTGCCTCTCCCCCCTGCCTCACCCCTCCCCTTTCTCCAATTTCCCCATGTCCATACATCAGTGGGCGAGGTGGGGTGGCCGTCAGCAGGATCCCCCGTGGCGTCGCTATCAGACGCAGCAGAGTTCAACGGAGCGCTCATAGACCACCTCACGTCCGGCCAGGGCACGCCCAAGCGCCCAGGCATGCCCATCCGCGCATACATCTTTGAGATGTTTGATGAGGACCGGAAGGACGCTGGCCCCGGCGCATTCGAGCAAGCATGGGGGGTCAACTATGCAAACGGTTCTGAAAAGTACCCACTCAACTTGAAGCCTGGTGGTGGTGTGTCCAAGTCTCCTCCTCCTTCGCCCACCCCTTCACCCACCCCTTCGCCACCACCATCACCAGCGCCATCCCCCTCACCCACACCGTCACCAGCACCGCCGTCTCTCTCCCCGCCCCCTCCCAGCACGTCCCCTCAGACCCCCCCACCGGATTCCTTTGTCCCTGCGCCCTCGTGCGACACAGCAGCGGAGAGTGCATGGAACGCCATGACATGGGCGTGCGGGGAGGGGCACGTGGAGTGTGGTGACTTGTTGAGTGGGACCGGCAGTGGGTGCTGGGCCGGGCAGAACAGCAGCGTGCAGGTGGCGGTGCAGGCCAGTGTGGCCATGAATAGGTATTTCCAGGCCGCAGGGCAGGGCGAGGGGACGTGTGTGTTTGGAAATTCGGGTGCTGTGGTGTCGGCTGTGCCGGCTGCTCTGGCGGGGTGTGGGCTTGAATCTGGTAATGGCAAGTGGTGTGTGGCCGCATGCTTACAGTAGGAGAGAGGCGGAGGAGGGGGGATGTTGAGGAGTTGCTTTCTGCTGTCTCTGCTGTTTAGGGAAGTGCTGGTTAGTCGAGAGAAAGCGAGTGATCTGTGTATGCAGGACATAATAATAAGCAACTGCCTCATGCCTACCTATCTGAATCGTGCAGATGGCCTAGAGTGCCTAAGGCAAGTCACAGGGGAGCGGACACTGGTGGTGTGATGAGCACCATTGTGGGGTGGGCACCGTAAATGGTCTTGGTAATGTCATAAACGAGCCATCATAAGCACCATCCACCGTGACAAGCGAGCACCTTGATGAATATCACCTCATATGCATTCTGCCGTGGGATGAGATGGGGGAAGGCAAGGGGGGAGAAAGGGCATGGGGCACACAGTGTGCGTGATATGGCACACAGCGGGTACTGTCTGTCTTACAGGCAGCGCTGCTGATGTTTGCCAGTGCAGGCGGCACAAAGCGTGGCCGATGCAGATGCAGAAAAATGCAGACGGACACGCACGGTGCCTCTGCTGCCCCCACCTGACAAAGCCACCTGAGAACGCCCCTGGCCCCCCACCTGAGAACGCACCTGAGCACGTCTCTGCTGGCTCGTCGCACGCGGCACTTGATGGTGGGCAGTCCCAGGCGCTGGTGTGCCTCGTAGCGGTGACAGCCCGAGAAGCCTGGTCAGGGGGCAAGCCACGCACCCGATACACATACGCAAGCGATACAGGCGAGGAGTCGGGCAGGGGAGCAGTCGGGGCAGTGGGCACAGCAAAGCAGAGGGATTGGAGGGAGGGGGCCTGGAGTCGCTGACGAAGCAACCGGGTTAGCGAAAGGCTAAGGGAAGACGGCTTGCAGTAGACGAGGTTGAGAGAGGTGGTGAGGTGAGTGAGGAGCGGGCCAGTGGCATGCATCCACACATGGGAGGCGTGCAGGCAAGGAAGGACGGGGTTGGGTGGAACCACAGGGAGTGTGGACAGGCAGGTATGAGGTTATGGCGTGTGCATGAGGAAAAGCAGCATATGCATGGGAAGGGGTGTGAGATGACTCACCATAGTGAAGACCTTCCACTTCCAACATATCAATCTGCAAGCGGCAACGCATGCATGCAGTAGACTTTTGAATCGACTCAAAAGTCACCTTGCAAGGGAAAGAGTTTGAGGTAACTCACCATAGTATAAACCTTCCACTTCCAACACATCAATCTGCACGCAGCAACACATGCATGCAGTAGACACGCGGAATGGTGGGCAAGACACCAGAAAGAGAGACGTGTGGGTTGAGCACGAGACAAAGGCGATGAGGTGAGGAGGTGGAGTGATGGGGCCGCTCAAAGCGCAAGGCACAGGGTGAGAGCATTGGATCAAAGCGCGCTTGCATCACCGTTACATGGCAGCACTGAAGCACCAGAGCACCACGGCATGCACAGCACGTACAGTCATAGCATACAGCGGTAGCGCGCTCACTGGTTCTTGCAGCCCGATCTCCTGGATGCTCGCCATCAGCGCCGCCACTTTCTCCTGGTCGTTGGATCGCGTGCGCATCAACGGCCGTCGGATCTCGTCCACGCGCAGCTCCATCACCTGCGCGCCGCCGCTCCCCCGCGCCGTGCGCGCGCCCGCCGCTGCGCGGTGATGAGGATGAGAGTCAGAATGAGCGACGGGATGAGCGACGGGATGAACGACGGGATGAACAACTGTGTCAGACACAAGAGCGACGGGACAGTCACACTCACTTTCTTCCCCCCACCCTCCCCCACCACCCTCAATTCCAGGGTCACTGCGCCACTCGCCTCACCTGCCTTTCCGCTCGCCTCCGCGCCACTGCTTCCGCTGCTGGCGGCGCTCTGCGCGTCTCCCCCCATGCAGCGCGCACGGCCGGCAAGGATCGGCCCGCTGCACGCCAGGCGGTTAGGAGCGACTCTGAGCGACGCGCCGCCGCAGCATGGCGAGAACGCGACGCGCGGAGCGGGGATCGCGGCGAGGGTGCTAATGGAGTGCATGGCGGCGTTGGGGATAGGGCAGCGGAGAATGATGGGCGGGGGACGGAGGTCGCGGTGAACGGAATAACGTGAAGGAGGATGGGCAATCCCCGTTACAATCCTCAGGTCACAACGGCCCAGTTTGTGAATTGAGAATCATAACTTGAACTAGTAGTACGGTATGTTGAATTGGGTACAACGTTGGCATTTCATAAATGCAGCCATTGTGTATCCTCTAACTACCTGTTCTATCCTGGGCTGTGGCGTATCTAGACTTCCTGGGATGCTAGCGCGTAGGTAGCTTACTGATCAAACTTGAGGCTCAGCTCAAGGTGCGGCCAAGCTAGCTTAGCTTAGTGCACAGAGAAGGTGGACTCCACTCCAGTGCAGGTGGGAAGGGTCTAGTTAGAGCAATCAATGGCATTCGTGGCTGGCTGGAGAGGGGGAATGGAGGCATGAGAAGAGCGGGATATGGGCTAGACTGGGTTGCAGCGGGGGATGGCTATGCCAGGGAGAGGGAGGGATGGAGGGGAAATATAATGTTGGAGGGAGAGGGAGAACAGAATTCGGGAGGGGAATGGAGTGAGGAAGAGTGAGGGAGAGCGAAGGAGAGAAAGAACAGGGAGTAAGGGAGAGAGAGAGAGGGAGAGAGAGTGAGAGTGAGAGAGAGAGAGAGTGAGAGAGAGAGAGAGAGAGAGAGAGAGAGAGAGAGAGAGAGGGGGGGGGGTGGGGGGGAGAAGCGAGACAGCGGGGGAAGAGCGGCGCGCGGAGGGGGGGGCAGGGGAAGGCTGGATGGGCGAGAAAGGCAAGGCCAGAAGGCGGAGGGAGGATGTGCGCAGGCGGGAAATATCGAGCGTTGACGCGAAATGCAGAGAGTGGCAGCACGGCAGTGCGGTACGGAGAAGAGCAGGCAGCGAGCCCAAGGAAGACGATCGCGGGATGAGTAGCAGCAGGAGTGACGAGATGGAAAGAGATGCGGCAGCAGGAGTGACGAGATGGAAAGAGATGCGGAAGGGAAAAAGGGGAGGAAGGGATACAGGAAGGAACGCGGGGGAAAGAGAGAGAGGGTTCCAGGAAGGCCGGAAAGAGGAAAGAATGTGGGCGACGGGGTGGAGGGGAGATGAGTAAAGAGGGTTGACATGAGGCCTGGCGGTCTGGAGGTAGTGGGATCGGTGGCTTGAAACGGGTGTGAACGAATGGCTGCGTGAAAGAATTACACATCCCCCGGCTAATTCAACTGCTGCTCTGCCCACAACCCCTGCTCTCGGAGCACCCAATGCGCCGCCATAACTCTACTCAGCGCATCGCATAGCATAGCCCCTGACCCATGAGCGCACGGGAAAAGGAGCGAGTGGCGCGACTCTTGCGCGAGAAAAGGTGAAAAAAAGCAACAAACGAATCGATAGACATGAAGGGGGAAAGAACGAAACTTCATTGTTTGCATTAAGGCGGACATAATGCGACAGAGCAAGCGACACAGAGCAGGGTCTAGAGCGAGGCAGGCCTTAGCGAGCACGAGAGCCTTCCTCGGCATCGCCACATCGTTAAAAATCGCCACCACCACCAGCACAACAACCGCGTTACATGGTAACCGGGTAGGTATATCTAGTTGGCGGGAATCTCAATCTCGCCGTCGTCGATCTCTTGCTGCACGTCCTTAGGGCTCTTGCCGTCCACAGTGCAACCCACCGACACGCACGTTCCCAGAATCTCCTTCACCGTGCCGGTAAGCTCCTTCGCGATCGATCGTGGCCGCATCACGCGCGCGACCTCGATGACGTCATCCATGGAGATGTTACCGTTGTGCTTGATGTTCTTCGTCTTCTTCCGGTCGCGCTCCGGCTCCTTAAGAGCCTTAATGATCAGAGCCGCGGCGCTAGGAACGACGGAAACCTTAGCCTGTCGGTTCTGCACGGTCAGCTTGACGGTAACGCGCAGCCCCTTCCACTCCTTAGCAGTCTCCTTGGCGATATCTTCTCCTATCTTCTTGGGCGACAGACCCAGCGGACCGATCTTAGGAGCGAGCGACGAGGCCGCGCCGACCTCGCCGCCCGTCACGCGGACGAACACGTCCACAATGGCCGTGGGATCCATTTTGGGCGGCATGGTGGCGACGGCTAAGCGACGCGAGGGGGAATCTTAGGGAAGGGGAAGCGGCGAGGCCTAGGAAAGTGAGGGAGGTAAGGAGCGCGAAGAGGAAAGAGAAATGGCGGAGTAGAGAGAAAAGGGTGTGAGCGGGGGAGAGCGGGGGGAGGGGGAGAGAATGGGGGGAAGAACCAGGATTGTAGTGCAGAGGGCGCGGAGGGAAGTGTTGCGCAACGCGCGCGGTTGGCGGGTATCTGTCGCTCTGACTTCGAGGTTTTGGGTGTTGCGCTCGCGAAAGATGTGGGATGGACATGAAGTGTTACATCCTGTAAAGCGGGCTGAATTTAATCGCAGAATGAATGTCACTTCCAAACAAATCAAAGTTTGTCCCACTCTATTGAACATACGCCAGCACAGGATACATGAAAAATGGAATATATACTGGTGGACATCTACTAGCATCTGCAAGCCAAATCATAAAAGCAATCACCACCATGGTTTGAGGGTAACTACACCCACAACATCCAACAGCCTTAAAGTAAGGAAAGACAAGTATACAAATATAAGGGACGCCCCCAATGGTCGAGTGAGGCGGAAGCCGGAGAGGGGAAGCACAAGCAGCGAGAGCAGCAACCCGAAAAGGAGGAAAACGAACGTATACGGCAGCGTGGGGTCTTCAGGGATCACAAACGCATGCGGATAGGAATGCCAGGAGGTGAGAACAAGAGACATGCCAATCCCCACAAGCGTGTTGAACATAGGCCCGGCATAACACCCAGACCAGGCTATCTGCACTCTCTCTGCCGCCCGCTCACTCCGCCCGCGAATCCCTCCACCTCCCCCAATTGCCCCTCCGCCATACGCGAGAGCTAGATTAGCAACGAAATCTCCGATAGAATTGCCCCACGCGAGCAGTGTGAGGCCGAGAACAGCTGAGCTGACCCGCAGCACTATAGCAGCTGACACCAGCAGCGCCACTAGCTCGTTCGCCACCACATAGAACCACACTACACTCATCACAAACCCTGGCACCACCCACAGCAGCCCCAGCACACGCGGCGGGATGCGGAGGGATGCAGAGCGGTGGTGGTGGGTGTGGTGGTGCGAAGCTGGCCCGAGCACTGCTGCTGAGAGGTGCTTTGCACCGGAAGGGCCTGAGGAGGCGAGGAGGCCGAGAAGAGAGAGGAAAGCGCCCGAGGCAGCAGCGAGAGAGAGTGGCAGAGGGGAGAGGAAGGGGCCTTGGAGCACTAGGAGGAAGAAGAGAGGGGCGAGGGCGAGGGAGAGGAGGGAGAGGACGCGGCTGCGTGAGTCGCGAGGGAGGAGAGGGATGGTGAGCAGGCGCGGGAGCATGGCAGGCAGGCAGAAGAACCAGTAGGCGATGCCCTGAGCTGAGAGGACAGGTGCTGATGGGGGCTCCCACTAAGATTGGCACGAGGCAGAACAGAAATGATGCAGAGGTGGAGAATAGAGTGGTGTTTGATCATCAGGGCGTGAGACACATGGCGTATGTGCAGGAGTTTGGAGGCGGTTATGCGTGACTGAGTTGGAATCAGAAGTCCGGAATCAGAGAAACGAATACGTCCGGCAAAGGGGGACTCCGAAAAAGCATGGATTCGCAGCAAGACACATTAGAAAACCGCGGCGAAAAGGGGGGGGGGGGGAAGAAACAACTAACCGAATGCAGCACATCTTCCTCGTCATCCTCTTCCTCCTCCTCCTCCTCATCATCCGAGCCCCATCCCCACAGCGGCCGCACCCCCCCAGCAGCATCGCCATCCGCGCCCTCCTCCATTTCCATGAACGCTGCCCGCCCCGCCACCTCATGCCCCGCCCCGTGCTGTGGCTCCAACTGAAAGATGCGCACATCTCTCGTCCACATCCACTGCGGTAGTGCATGCGCATGCGCTGCTCCCTCCCCGCCTTCCCCGCCCTCACCACCCTCTCCTCCCTGCCCATCCCCACCCTCCATCTCCTCCTCCTCGTCCCCCCCAAGCCTCCCCCCCTTCGCCCCGACCCCTGCTGCCGCCCCTGGTGCCCGGTGCATTCCCGCGCCTGCCTCCCACTGGTCGACAGGCAGCAGCGGCTGGTGCAGGTGGGAAGAAGCAGGGAGGTGGGCAGGATGGTGGGTGGTTGCAGAGGCAGCGGCGGCGGAAGAGGAAGAGGAGGAGGAGAGTTGGAAGGAGGCGACGCAGCAGCAGTAGGCAATGTAGATGGAGAAGAAGAGGAGGGCGGTCCACAGGTGCACGGACCCCATACACACTATCACAAACAGCACCTGCACGTGGCCACACGGATAGACACATGGCCAGATGGGCGCATGCACACAAAGGGGCGTTATAGGAAGAGAGGCAGTGGAGAGAAGATGGGGACTGGGGGAGTTGGGGGTTACCAGGGAGGGAGCAGGGTGAGAGACGAACTTTTATAAAGAGAGTATGGAAGACGGAGGGGTGGGCGAGAAAGCGAGCTGGAGAGGGAGAGAGAGCAAAGGGAGGGAGGGGAGAGGGAGAGGGGGGGGGCTGTGGGGTGGGGTTGTTGTGGAAGAAAGGAGAAAAGGCACATACGAGGAGGGCAGTGATGAAGAAGCAGACGTCTCTGATAAACGAGGGCCCGTCCACCACTGTGGCGTCCACCAGCCTCTTCGCCCCCGCCGGACCTGCAGCCCTGGCCCGGGCAGCAGCAGCCACGGCAGCGACGATGCAGACAGCCCCTGCTACCACGCAGGACACGAAGGTGGCGGCGCCCAGCACGCTGTTCAGCCCCACCTGCCCCTGCCCCGTGCCCACGAACGCTGCTATGCTGTGGAGGGGACGCGGGAGGCATGTGGGGCCGGGGGGGGAAGGATGGATAGGGGAGGAGAGAGGGGGACAGGGAAGGAACGGGGACGACAGGGAGAAAAGAGGTTGGAGGCAGGGCGGTGCAGCGCACAAGGGTGTCAGACAGGCCAAGGGCGATCAACTGACTGCTCCAGCACCAGTGCGTCATCACAGCAGAGCCATGAAGGCTGCTACATCCCGGCTCACCTGGCAAACACGTCCGGTGCGCCGTTGCCGAGAGGCAGCAGAGTAACACCGGCGACAGTGGCCGGCAGGCGCAGCAGGTGTGAGAGCTGCTCGAGCGATGGGCAGAAGAAGTCCGCCGCGGTGTTGCCCAGCATGAAGAACAGCGCGCCCAGCCACACCGCCATGCCCGCCGCAGTGACAGCGCGCGTGAGGGCGAGCGAGCGGCAGTAGTAGAGCGCGAGGTAGTGAATCCAGGAGCCCAGCTGGCAGGGCAGGTGCGTGGTCACGTACGCGCACTGCTCCGCGGGGGTGAGCAGGGTGCGCACGCGGTGGCAGTTGGGGTCGTCATCGTCGTCGTTGACCTTGTCCTCCTTGGCGCCCTCTTTGTCTTCCTTATCGCCCTCGTTGACTCTGTCCTTCTCCTTGTTCATGTAAGTGCCAGTGCCGTCGACAGGGCGATCTGAAGTGGAATTCGTGGCACCAGGCGCCAAGGCTGCCGCGTCAGGTGCACTGTCCCCAGTAGGTGTCTGCTCTGAGCTGTCTGCCTGCTGCGCGTTCCCAGCCCCACCTTTCCCCTTGGTACTCCGCTCCTCGAGCTTCTCACCATCGCCAGCCACCTTGCCACCTGCACTCCCCGCCACCGCGCCATGCGCGCGCGTCTCATCCGCGCCCACCGATGTCTGTCCTGACTCTGCCCTCGCATGCACTGCCTCGCTTCCGCCAGCACCGCTGGTTACCGCCACGCCCTCGCGCCCACCTGCTCCTGCTTGCGCCGTGTCCGCATCCGCGCTCTTATGCACGCGCGCGCCATCACCTGCTCCTGCGGTGGCGTCAGCGGACGGACCCGCGCCAGCCGCACCCGCCGCAGCGTCGCCAGCGGCAGCAGCGGCGGCGAGCGAGGCGTTCTGTGAGGGTGGGTGGGGAAGGGCGGCGGGCGTTGCTCTCGCATCGCCGAGCGAAACGTTGACGGAGGAGGGGGAAGAGGCGGTGGTCGGTGATGCTGTTCCTGACGGCGGTGCTGCTGCTACTGGCGAGTTCGCTTGAACAGCGGACCCCTCACGCCTGATTGTCCTGCCCGTTTTTGACAATCCGTGTGACGATTTTCCATGAATTGCATCCGCGCGGGATGTTTTAAGGCCGTTCGAGGAATCACTGGTTTGGTCATGTGGAGCAGATAGTGCATGACCCTGCGTGTTGCTATGTGCAAGTAAATTCGGCGACTTCGCAGATACTGCAGGGAACCAGTAGAGTGAAAGGCTGATGAGAAAGCATAGCAGCAACGAGCGGGAAACGAGGAGCAGAGTCATTGGGGTGACGCATCCAGGTCCCAGGCTAGGATAGCATGAAGGAAGACTTGCAGGAGTCCTAAGTGCGACGCGCGAAGCAATTAGGAGCAGTGGAGGTTGGTCGGCTGCTCTTGTTTTCCCTCGAGTTCATCCCAAGTCCCTCGGTTGAGGGCGCATTCTCAAGTTTCCCCACCAGCTGAAGTTCCCCCACACGACTCGAAATGTTGACGTGGCATTAATTCACATTGTAAAGTTCCCCCACGCGGTTCGAACTTTCGACACCTTGAGTCCAACCGGCCACAGTCGCAGTGCTCGGCCTGTCCGTCAGTGTGCGACGATGGAAATCGTGCCACGTTTGCTGGATGTGGGGACTACAGTTTCAGACATGCCAGTTTCGTGCGCATAGCGGGCAACAAATATTTTCTTCCTGCCCACGCAATCCATTTCTGCACTGCGTGCGTGAATCTGCCAGAATCACCCAAGTTGACTTGAATTGACTATTGTGCAACCGTCAGGCACGGCCGTTTAGGTTTTGCCTGACGAGGTTAGTTCATCACTTGGTCTGCGAGCTGGCGCATCAATTTCATTGGATGTTAGACATGCGATGCTGGCGACATTAGTCGCCTGCCAAAATGAGGTTCGGTGGTCAGAGTGGGAGCATTCCCACCAAAACCCCCATCAGCTTCGGAAAAAACGGGCTGGTGGTGGAACTTCGATGGTGGGTGAACTTGAGACCGCCGTCTGAGTGTAGTCAAATACTGTTCAGCGAAGTCTCCGTTCTACACTTGCATCTCTTCATTTTTAGAAGATCCTCTTACAGTCAGTTTTATGAGATTGCAACTCCTAAAACATTACCTAATCAGGTAGGAAACGCCAAAGTCTTTGTATCAAACTTAATAGCACTACTTAATACCCCTTATCTTAAATACCACAACTTTGTATCAAACTTAATTCATAATATCACTATAGGGATTCATGCGCCTTCTCATCATTTGTCCGTAAAAACGACCGAAATCGTGGGCGCTGAACTTTTCCTTGCGCAAGGACCAAGCCAAAAAAGTGCTCTAATAGGTGTATTTGAACATGGGCCACTTGAATATGCAATAAAAATCAGGTTGTTGAGTGCTTTTCCCTACGCCTCTTCACGCGCTTTCTAGGCACTTGGTGGCAAAATCGACCGAAATCGTAGTGGCCAAAATTTTCTTCGCGCAAGAACCAAGCCGAAAAGGCTCTAGTAGGTGTATTTGAACATGGGCCACTCGAATATGCAATAAAAATCAGGTTGTTGAGTGCTTTTCCCTACGCCTCTTCACGCGCTTTCTAGGCACTTGGTGGCAAAATCAACCGAAATCGTAGTTGCCAAAATTTTCTTCGCGCAAGAACCAAGCCGAAAAGGCTCTAGTAGGTGTATTTGAACATGGGCCACTCGAATATGCAATAAAATTTAGGTTGTTGAGTGCTTTTCCCTACGCCTATAGAGATTCACGCGCTTTCTAGGCACTTGGCAGCAAAAACGGCCGAAATCGTACGCAGAGAACCTTTCTTCGCGCAAGGACCGGGCCGAAAAGGCTCTAGTAGATATATTTGAACATGGGCCACTCGAATATGCAATAAAATTCAGGTTGTTGAGTGCTTTTCCCTACGCCTATAGGAATTCACGCGCTTTCTAGGCACTTGGCGGCAAAAACGGCCGAAATGATAGTCACCGAACTGTTCTTCGCACAAGAATCAGGCCAAAAAGGCTCTAGTAGGTGTATTTGAACATGGGCCACTCGAATATGCAATAAAATTTAGGTTGCTGAGTACTTTTCCCTACGCCTATAGGGATTCACGCACTTTGTAGGCACTTGGCGAAAAAAACGGCCGAAATCGTAGGCGCCGAACTTTTCTTCGCGCAAGAACCAAGCCGAAAAGGCTCTAGTAGGTGTATTTGAACATGGGCCACTCGAATATGCAATACAATTTAGGTTGTTGAGAGTTTTTCCCTACGCCTATAGAGATTCACGCGCTTTCTAGGCACTTGGCGGAAAAAACGGCCGAAATCGTAGGCGCCGAACTTTTCTTCACGCAAGAACCAAGCCGAAAAGGCTCTAGTATGTGTATTTGAACATGGGCCAATTGAATATGCAATAACATATAGGTTGTTGAATGCTTTTCCCTACGCCTATAGAGATTCACGCGCTTTCTAGGCACTTGGTGACAAAAACGGCCGAAACGTGGGCGTCGAACTTTTGTTCGTGCAAGAACCAGGCCAAGAAGGCTCTAGTAGGTGTATTCGAATATGAGCCACTCGAATATGCAATAAAAATCAGGTTGTTGAGTGCTTTTACCTACGCCTCTGCGCTTTCTAGGCACTTGGTGGCAAAATCAACCGAAATCGTAGGCGCCGAACTTTTCTTCGCGCAAGAACCAAGCCAGAAAGGCTCTAGTAGGTAAATTTGAACATGGGCCACTTGAATATGCAATACAATTTAGGCTGTTGAGTGTTTTTCCCTACGCCTATAGAGATTCACGCGCTTTCTAGGCACTTGGCGGCAAAAATGGCCGAAATCGTAGGCGCCGAACTTTTCTTCACGCAAGAACCAAGCCAAAAAGGCTCTAGTATGTGTATTTGAACATGGGCCACTTGAATATGCAATAAAATTCAGGTTGTTGAGTGCTTTTCCCTACGCCTATAGGGATTCACGCGCTTTTTAGGCACTTGGCGGAAAAAAGAGCCGAAATCATGGTCGCCGAACTTTTCTTTGCACAAGAACCAGGCCGAAAAGGCTCTAGTAGGTGTATTTGAACATGGGCCACTCAAATATGCTGTAAAATTCAGGTTGTTGAGTGCTTTTCGCTACGCCTATAAGGATTTACGGGCATTCTAGGCACTTGGCGGCAAAAACGGCCGAAATCATAGTCGCCGAACTTTTCTCCGCGCAAGAACCACGCCGAAAAGGCTCTAGTAGGTATGTTGTGTCAAACATTATATATGTTGTGTTTGTTTAGGCTACAGTGGGTTAGCCTATAGGGGGTACACAATTCTAAGGTTAGGTACTTGTACTGATTTCACTGCTAGTTCAATCATTCCTGTCTGTTGATTTCGACATGGTTTCAGAGCAGGTCCTTCGCTAGGACCGTTCTTAGGGTCCACCGCTACCTAAGGGCCCACCTACCTACCTACCTACCTACCTACCGTGCGCCCTCGTGCGCCTACGCGCCCCAGTGCGCCTCCTACCTACCGCGCGCGCGCAGCCCGCCAGCCAATCGCGCGCGGCTCGTTTTTTTTTTTTTTTTTTTTTTTTTTTAACCGCGCGCGACCCGCTAGCTGCCCGCGCGCGGCCGATTTCTTTTGAGCGCGACCGGCTAGCCGCCCGTGCGCCGCTCGCACCGCTATAGCGCAGCCCGCAGCGGCCCCGCCGGCCTGCACATTGCCGCCCGCCCGCTGCAGCGCCCGCCCGCTCGTCGCCCGCTGCAGCTGCCGCCCGCTCGTCGCCCGCTGCAGCTGCCGCCCGCTCGTCGCTCGCTGCTGCTGCCGCCCGCTCGTCGCCCGCTGCAGCGCCTGCCCGCTCGTCGCCCGCTGCAGCTGCCGCTCGCTCGTCGCCCGCTGCTGCTGCCGCCCGCTCGTCGCCCGCTGCAGCTGCCGCTCGCTCGTCGCCCGCTGCTGCTGCCGCCCGCTCGTCGCTCGCTGCAGCTGCCGCCCGCTCGTCGCTCGCTGCTGCTGCCGCCCGCTCGTCGCCCGCTGCAGCGCCTGCCCGCTCGTCGCCCGCTGCAGCTGCCGCCCGCTCGTCGCACGCTGCAGCTGCCGCCCGCTCGTCGCCCGCTGCTGCTGCCGCCCGCTCGTTTCCCGCTGCAGCTGCCGCCTGCTTGTCGCCCGCTGCAGCTGCCGCTACCACGGGCTCGCCGCTGCAGCTACCGCCTGCGCGTCGCCCGCAGCCGCTCCCGCTCGTGCGCCGCGGCCGCTACCGCCCGTGCGCTCCTGTTGCGCCTGCTACCGCTGCCGCTGCTGCACTCGCTCCCACTGCGGCCGCCGCTTCTGCGCCCACTGCCGCTCCCGCCCGTGCGCATCAGCTGCTGCCGCCCGTGTGCTGACACTGCCGCTATGGCTACTCCTACTGTACTTACTTTCGATGCTGAGGGCCGTCCAGTGAAGTTCGAAACCTGGCTCGATGACCTCCACCTCTTTCTACAGCTCACTGCTAAGGAGGACGTTTCACTGTACGATCACGCCCTAGGCAACGCTACTGCTGTCGAAATAGTAGGTACAGTGAGAGGCCATAGCTAGGAGAACCCTAGCTAGGCAAGAGAGAATTGAACGAAAGAGGGGTTTGCACTAGCAACAACGGTGGTACAAATAGCTAACCCTAGAAGGGCTGTACTCGCTATAGAGCACCCCACTGTAGGCTAGAGCATAATATTCTGACACACCCCCATAGCCAAAGTGGGGTGTAATCAGCACAGCAAGCAAAGCAGTACAAGCTCAGGGTGGATCACGATGTCACCACACATTCTGAGCACATGAACAAGAAGCAAAAGTTTAAAGTTCACAATTATGGGTAAAGCTAAAGCTGTCACAGAGGGCAAGCGAGGAGGAGGAGGGCTGGTGAGATGAGAGAAGAGTGGAGGCGACGACTGAAGCTGCAGACACTCGGGCAACAGACGGCTCTGGTGCAACGCTGGTGGCTACCGGGAGGAGAAAGGCCCCGGAATACAGGAGTAACAGGCTCTGCAACTGATCAGCCAGCGACAGTAGCAACGGACCCACGGGCGACAGGTGCAACCGGCTCTCTGAGCTACCGGGAGGAGAAAGGCCCCGGAATACAGGTGCTGCGGACGACACGACGGCAACCTCCGCTCAACCTCCTCCAACTGCCCCACACACCCCCCACACACCCACTGCTGAAACCCTAGCTCCATTCCCACGGCACCCCCCTTAAACCCCAAACCCTAGGCTCCCACACACCACCCCCCTCAGCGGCAGCTGTAGCAGAGGGAGACTAGGGAGGAGGAGGAGGAGCAGGGAACGGCACGCAGTGTCTTCACCCCCATACCCCTCACCCCCAAACCCTAATTCAGGAGAACGGGCTGTAGGAGGGGTGGGGCGCCAGTAGAAGCACGGGGGACAGTGGGGAGGGCAGGGGCAGCGAGGAACGGGCCGCCCACGGGCCT